ATCATCCTTGTGGCCTCCTTTTTATTTTATTTAAATTATTAAATTGATTTTATCTCAACCCACGAGTCCCCTTGCGTTTATCCCTCCAGTTCTCTCCTCTGTTCCCGGGGCAGGGGAGGATAAGTAAGCAGCTCTGTGGTGTTTAGTTGCTGGTTGAGATTAAACCACGACAATATTGTAAACTGAAATACCTTTTTTGCATTGATTGCACATTGTGGTGTTAGCTGTAATTTCATTGTTGGATGCTGTGCATAGTTATCTTTGGAGCTCTCAGCTGCATTATCTATGGAAGAGATAGAGCATAAGTTGTAAGGATGAAACTCCAGATACAAGTTTTTGAGTCTATCTTGATTTAGAGTTTGGGATTAAAAAAATAATCAGCCCTTGTGCATGTGATATTACCTATCTGTCCACTACCAAATGTGTCCAGAGGAAAACAAAAAAGAACTTTGCTCACCAGGTGCAAAGTTTAATAGCAGATATCACACTTTATACCACTTCTGGATCTGCCACAGTACCTTGTTAGAGGTGCTTTACTGTTTAATGGGTTGAAATTTGTAAGGATTGAGTTGTCAACTTTAAACTCAGATAAAGGGATGTGAAGTGACTGAAGTAATCTACTTTCTGTTTATTTGCCAGTCCTTAAAAATAGAAAAAAAATAACCTTGTGGTTCAGGACTGTGTCCAAGAATAACATGTCTCTTTGTTAATTTATCCGTAGCTTTAAAGATGAGCTCACATCTGAGAAGCTGTTTGGGGTAAAGTTGTGGATCACAGCAGGGCCAAGAGAAAAGTTCAGTGCTGCTGAGGTAAGGAGTCAATAATTGTTTGCAAATGAATTCTGTTTTAGGAGTTGTTTCATGTGAATTAGAAGAGAACAGCACAGAAATCTCTGCAGTAGTACTGCTTCATAGGAATTTACACAAGTTGAAATCTGAACACTTTTAGGGTCAAGTTCATTGCAAGTAGTCAGAATCATTTATCTTTCCTCATCTCAGTATAACTTTCCTGCAGTCCTGTGTGTAGCTTCTTTCACATATATTTTTTCTGGATCTTTTCTTGTCTTGTAGTTTTTGGTTCTGAAGAAGTTCCTGGAGGATGGTGGAGCCATCCTGGTGATGCTGAGAGAGGGTGGAGAGTCCCGATATGGCACCAATATTAACTTTTTGTTAGAAGAGTATGGGATCATTTTCAATAATGGTAATGGGTCTCACTGATACCTTTTATTGTTCAATCTTAAGCAAAATCTAAAGAGCAGGTTCAACCTTTGTCAGTAAAAGCCAAGCAGATCCCTCTCACAAAGTACTTTTTGGTCTAAGAGATGTTTTTTCTTGAAATCTACGTGTACATGGTGGTGTAATGCTGGAGCACACGAAGGGCTTTCCATGGAGACAGTTCCTTGAGAACAACTCAGCCATCTCCATTCTTTTGCTATAGTTATCAGTTTTAATGTTATTTACTAACAAAAAATAACTCCAGTGACCTTTCTTTGTTAAAAAGCCTTTGATTTCAAACATTTTTTCTGCACATTTTAATGGGTTGAATCACTTCATACTCACTCTGAATAAACAGTGGCTCCTTTTTTTTGGCAGAGACCAATAAAATGCCATTCATTTGGTTTTGTACCACCAACATGAAAAATCCCCAACTGTCTCTCAGTGACATAAAATACTTTAAGGGTCTTTGGTAGCATTTCTAGACTGTGCCTTTTTTTGCATCAACAGTATTAGATTAATCATGCTTTTGGAACATGCATAAAAAATAATTTGAACTTGTAAAACTTGATACATATTCTTTTAACTGGTTCATCATTTTGCCTCTTCTGCTTTGCCCAAGACATGGCGAAGGACTTGTTTTTCATATTTTTATTTGAACTTGCAAATATAATCCTGTCCTAAATCTGTATGTGCAGAAGGAAACAGTAGTGAATGGTGGTTTGAATTCTTTTGGGAGCCACCTGAGCCACGTGCTGGCTTTGTGGTGTTAGAAGCAAACACCCAGGGAATCTTAAGAGCTAAACTAATTTTTTCATTGCTGCATCTAGCACACTGATCAGATAAAATGTAAATTTCTGGGGTTTTTTTGCTTTCTTCAAGATGCTGTAGTACGAAATGTATATTACAAGTACTACCACCCAAAAGAAGCACTGATCTCTGATGGAGTCTTGAATAGGTAAATATTTGGGATATATAAATATTTACAGTAAACTCTTATAACCCATAGTGTTTTCAATAAGTTTTGCTTTTCAACATCTTGTAGGGGAATCAGTGAAGCGGCAAGAAAAAGAGTGCTTGAGACAACAGATGAAGATGGAAGTGGACATGACTCACAGTAAGTATTTTCCTTTGAGGCAGCTGATGTGAAAAGGTTTAGATCGACTCTGCATTAGCAGGGTTGTAATCTGGCAGGGGTGTGTTGTGCTTGTGTTGAGGCATTCTGATGTATATCTTAGGTCAGCTTCTTGCTCCTCATGGTTACATCTGGAAAGGAGGATCTGTTCAGTAACCAATGAAGAAACAGGAGTGATAGGTTTTGAAGGGATTGATTACTGACCAGATCTTTTTTGCCTCTAGTTTGTGCATTTGAATTTGATTAAACAACATTTGTACATTTGAACAACCTCTAGACAGTGTGGTGTTTGCCTGCAGGCATGAGGAACCCCACATCTTTTTAAAGAGTCTTAATTAGGTTGCCCAAGGAAGTTGTGGATGCCCCCTCCCTGGAAGTGTTTAAGGCCAGGCTGGATGAGGCTTTGAGCAACCTGGTCTAGTGGAAGGTGTCCCTGCTGCTGGCAGGGGGGTTGGAACTGGATGATCTTTAAGGTCCCTTCCAATCCAAACCATTCTATGATTCTATGAATCCAGGATGAAATAGACATCTATTTTATTTTTTAGCTCTCTGTCCCTCTGAGTTGCAGAGGAGTGAAGAGGCATTGGGAAGAACACAGCTTTTCTGTAAATAACTATGAATGTTTGTATTCTTCCTTGCAGCTAATTTTTAGACTAATAAATGACCGTGTGTTTGACTACAAGGTAAAATGCAAGTGTAAAAGCATTTCATGTAGTTTTGTTGCAGAATATAGATTCATCTGTGAGTTAAATAACCCTTCCCTTCTGTCAGGTAGAGGAGCGTGGAAACAAATGAAGAATGTTCTTTGTTACTTATTGAAGAGAAATTGTCAACCTGGAAAAAACTGTAGAAAGAGACTAAACTGCCATTAGAATGATGTGAATTTTCAAAAGCATGGCTCTTGGGATTCCACCACCAGTGCACAGTTACAGTTTGCAGTTCCGGCAGGCAGACTGTTTTATGTCCAGCCTGCCTGACCCATGCAGGTACTGATGGAGTTTCTGTATTTCCTGCAGGGCACTCACTTTCGTGTATCCATTCGGTGCCACGCTGAATGTGATGAAACCAGCAGTGGCTGTTCTGTCAACAGGATCTGTCTGCTTCCCGCTCAACAGGCCTATTCTTGCTTTCTATCAGGATGAGGTATGACTCTTCATGTAACAAACCACGCATTCTCACCCTTCCCTGCACAAAAATTATCAGTGTATTTTTCTGGGAGCACTTACAAACCCACTTCTATTTTTTGATGCGTCTGCCAACTGCAGATGAGCCTAAGGACTCCTGCCTCCTTTTGTGGAAAACTTCTTTGCATGGAGTTCAGAGGAGAATTAATTTGATGCTCAGGAAAGATTATATATTTGTTTGGTTGACAGGTGGATATTCTTAATTCTTCTTTAAAGTTTTATTATTTGAGGTTTTTTCCACTGTTTTAGTGATCATTTAGTAAGTAAGATTATTGTTAGCTTCATAAATATGCCATGGTAATTCTCTGAAGCAATTACATTCTTTAAAAATTGATTTAAAAAAAAATTCTCTCTCCTGGTAAGAGCACAAATCGGCTCTCCACTTGCTACTGAATTGATTTACTGTTTTGCAAAATGTAAGTAACATGAACTTTGTTACTTCCTACAGCTGTTGTGATCCACAGTTTTCTTTGTGACTACTCCAGGAACTGGGGAATCAGAGTAGCTATGATGTTGAAACCCACAGAGCAGACTCCTCTAGATTTTATCCAACTTAACAATGAAATAAACCCACATCTTCAGTTTCCTTTGATTTTACATGTGTACTGTTTAGCCTGGAAAAAAGGAAGCTTGGAGAGTCCTTATTGATCTCTACAGCAACCTGAAAGGAGGTTATAGCCAGGTAGGGGTCTGTCTCTTCTCCCAAGTAACAGGACAAGAGGAAATGGCCTCAAGTTGCACCAAGGGAGGATTAGATTGGATATGAGGAAGAATTTCACTACTTATTCCAAAATTTGCTATTTCTTCACTTTGTAATTAGACAACATTAACAATTGCTTCTAAAACTGTGATTTGGAAGGATTTTTTGCTATGTTGTGTTCTTTGTTGATAGCGTCAAGGTGGAAAGATGGCAGCGCTGGGATCTTCCCACATATTCAGTGATCAATATTTAGATAAAGAAGAAAACGGTAAGGTCATGGTAAGTTTTTTTTTTAAATTTTGTTTTGTTTTAAAGAAAACCACCTTAGTGGATCTTCACAGCACTTACAGAGCAATGCAAGTTCACTAGTTTAATCTTAGGGCAAGATAGCTACGAAGTGAATTCAGCACAGAGATTCTAACCCAGTACCAACATCCCGAGGAATTTGATAGAGCACAACGAGCAGCAAGGAGTTTTAAAAGATATAGTTTATTATTTATGTTACAGGATTCTGAAAAGCTCTTCCTACTTCTGTTCACCACTTTAGTGTTATTAATATTTAAATATTAAGTAGGGTCTTTTTTTGTTTACTACTTTTTCTTGGCTCCTTTAGTGCTTGATTGGGGCTGCTGATTAATAATAAACCTTTGCATATAGAGCTCCTGATACCTGGAGACTGTAATGCACTTTCCAAAGTGGGGTAGGTAATGTGGTTATGGGTAAGAAGGGGAGATTCTTTTCTGAGGTGTTACTGAAAGCATGCACCTCTTACAAAGTATGCTCATTGCCATGACTCATTGCTTCCATGTGTAAATACAAATAAAGCTTGTGTTTTCTCCACAGATACTCTTTGATTTATGATGTATTTTTAAATTCTATTTCATAATATGTTATTTAATAGATTTAATATGAATGTTTAAGCACAATGTAAGATTACTTGGACCCTCCAGAAATTAATTAAGTTTTGCCCCTCTCCAGGATGTGCTTTTCCAGTGGCTCACAACATCAGATGTCCATTTAAACCAGATGGATATGGAGGAGCCTGAGGTAAGAGAGATCTGTCACAAGGAGGTAAATAATAGCGTGGTCTAGCAGCACCAGTTTGGGCAAAATGGCACACAGCTAGATGGATGCTGTTGTTGCAGACCCTTCATTCAGGCTTTGAGATTGAGTAGACAGATGGACTAGGCATAAAAAATAATGGCATTGTATCTCCAGCTTAATAAGTCTGCACTTGGCTCTGAGTCTTCAGACAAGAGGAATGTGCATGAAGGGACGGTGGATTTTCTGTATATGAGCAGGGATCAAACTGTGTATCCATTTTAGTTGTTTTTTTAACTGATGTATGCAAACACTTATTTTATTTGGAAATATCATATGTGGTAAAATGATTTTCTGTGTGCATGAAAAGAACAACAGCCTTACACAGCTGGCTAGTAAGCTGTTTCTTTTAATTTTAAAGAATTAACAGAAATCAAGATACAACGTCCATGTGGCAAGTAGCTTTACAGCTAAAATAATAGTTTGCAGTCTACTAATCTAGTAAGGTGCTCTGCAAAGGGTCATCCTTGGTAAAGAGTGAAATAATGATTTCTAGATGAGATTTTAGTTGATATATAAACTAGAAAGAGACTTTGTCAATGAGTTGGGGTTTTTTTTAATCATAAGTGTGTGTATCTGTGTGTTTGTGTTCAGATTTCAGACTATAACATGCTCCCAGATACAGCCGTGCTGTCTGAGCAACTGCGAGTCTGTCTGCAAGAAGGAGATGAGAACCCAAGAGACTTCACAAAGCTGTTTGATACGTCCCTTTATCAGCTGGATACAACTGCCCTCCCTTCCGTTATCAAGTCAGCAGCTGTGATTCTTTCTTTCTTTATTTATTTTCCTATTGTGTATTCTGCATTTTCTGTTTGTGTTTAACTGTGTCTGCTTACCAGCAGAAGAGCCTGAGCTGCAGGCAGCATTCTGAATGTGGATATACCAGAAGATTGATTTGTGCAGTGTGACAGTGATGTTTTCTCTTGCTTCTTTGTCTTACCTGTAGTTTCTGACACTGTTTTTTTCCTTTTCTTTTTGACTACTGCTGGTTCAGTGAACTGATGTTTTCAGCAGAACCATCTGCAGTGATGTTGGGTACTTTCTGAAGTGATAACTGAGAGCTGGTTGTTTTTCCACTTTTGAATTACTTGGCATTTACTGAAGCTGCATTTCATTCATTTTTGCATTTCCCAGTCATTGTGTCTTGAGATTTATCTGCTGCTCAGTTTTACCAGTGTTGTGTCATTAGCAGCTTTGTCCCTCAGAATTCATCTGTTGCTTGAATAGTAGCGGGCTTAACACAGATTCT